GACGTCGCGATCAGGAACACGCGCTTGAACGTGTTGCCCACCGCGTGGGTCACGGGGTGCACGACTCCCAGGCACCGGAACGCCACCTCGTCTGAACGTTAGCGATTTCGGGAGGGGCACGCGAGAGGACGGGGGTGGCATTATATTAGGGGGATCCAACAGTCGGGCCGCGTAATCTCTTTCTGAGCGTTTTTCGATTTCAAGGTGGGTACGCATGCCGGAGGGGGGGGGGGGGGGGGGGGGCGTTTGGATGACCCAAACAGCTTCTTACCCCAATTCCGCGCGGAGAATAAGACTGAGGCTGCCCCGCTTCCGGTCCTTGTAAAAGGACTCGTCTTGCTCCAGAGTCCACAGGCTCATCTTGGTTGTGTCTGTGGGCACGATCTGCCTCTCGAGCTGCCTCAGGTGGAATTCGACCTGTGTGGTGAAAAACATGAAAAACGGTTTCGGTCATGACAACAGAGAGCGGGAGGAGAAACCGATGAAGTCGCCGTACATGTTTCATCGCGTCTTATAAAATAGGAACAACCTGGGATATAGGGCACGTGGTACTCACGTGGCGAAACTGAAGCGGAAAAACCAGGGGACAGCTAAGCGGGAAAGCACGGCGGTGCGACTTGAACGTATTGCGTATGTGTGCTTGAACGGTCAACCTCTGTGTATACCCGCACCAGCTTCTTCCGCTGCTTACCGTAGTCGGTGCCGAATGGTTCGAAGCGAGACATGGCCTGAACAGGCATCGGAACCCGCTACGGAAAGGAGAACAGTCTATTTTGTTTGATTCGAGGCTGGTATTCTCTGCCGTGACAAACGCTAAGGGCATGCGGTGGGCACTGCAAGCATGCCGCCCCAGACAAACTTACTTCTTGCTTCCGCTGCTTGCCGTAGTCGGCATAGAGGTCCTTGAAGCGCGACAGGGCCTCGGCGAGGCTTGCCTGGTTCGAGTCGCTCGGGTGAGAGCGCTGCGCCTCAAGTTTGGCCGCTATCTCCGCCTCCATGAGCTTCTTCTTGCTGGCCATGAGCATGAGCTTGTCGTTCACGTTCGATAGCTGCATACGGCGCAATCGATCGACAATGTGGGGCAGGTCAAAAACACGCCGTCTAGCCTTCTCTGTTCTCCCGGCAATACTGGTAAATTTGAGCTGATCACACGCTAGCGCGGTTCATGAAAAACAGCACTCGCACGCCCGAAAGCACACTTTTGACGCCCTTCGGTGAACATGGTATGTTCCCGCTCACACTGACATACTTTGATTGACCAGGCAGTGAGCGCAGCGGCAGCGGGCAGTTCACAAACCAGAGAAATTGCTACGCCTAACAAAATGTGGGAATCGCATTGCTACGAGTCTGCTAGTAAATATCTGAGTTTTGACAGCATGATTAAGCATAGGGGATACGTGACAACTAAACACGGTGGCGAATGAAGCCGGTGCCATCTCTTTTTCGCCCCCTGCCGCGCTGTCAATTGCTGACTTAACACGAACTCACAGACGAATTTGAGATGCGTTCGTGTGAGAAACAGAAAAAAAACGATAGAAACTCTGTGCCCTGCTCTGCATCGGTTGAAGCGGTGCCCTTGGCGCCCCGTACAACAAAACTCATCCTGACCTCTACCAGGCAACTTCATTTACCCCCACGTTTTAATCAAAACGACCAGTTGTTTCGTTTTCACAGGCTCAACCAAAGAGGACCGTGAAAAAGTCGCGTCACTCGCAAAAACAAAAAGTGTTAGCTGAAGGTAGGTCATGTTGCCCGTTCTCTACCATGTGCACGTTCTCACGTGGAGTTTCAGTTGGCCGTTGTCCTCCGAAACTTGCTTCACGCGCTCCTACGAAGTCAACAGCAGCAGTCAATGGCGAGCGGGTGGGAAGGGGCACGGGTGGGAGGCTGGGAATCAGGAGTTGTCGGGGGAACGTCGATAGCGACGTTTATCTCCGGCCGAAAACTGTTCATTGGTCAAAAAACTTTGGCTACATCGCCCCAAGAGACATCTACAGAGTGGCGGTCGAGGAGCGAAAGATGCGGTGAGTACTACCTCTCCGTACAAGCTGGTTCACGGATTAGAACCCAATAATATTCAACCACAGCTGCCAGACGAAATATGAACACAAAATTGAAAACATATGGTATCATAGTGATCCCCATGGGCAAGGGACCAAATCGCCGTGGCCGCAGTTTCAATCAGAGCTGTGGCCACAATGCAATGGGCATGAAGGTGTATCAGCCAATCAGAAGCCTTCAACATGATATATACCGAATAATGCATGCAAACCTGCACTTTCCACCTCTTTCTGCCGCAGTTTTGCAACGATGCAATTTCCAATGCTCTAGGGGGCCTACAGAATAAACAACAATAGAACACGGTCAACTGTGGAACCGAGTATGCCCAAAATGGTGGTTCGACTGCGCGATTTGGCGTCGTCGAATGGGTATGGACGGATTGTATCTATATGGGAAAAAATACACAAGAGAGTCTCCGGTTGGTTCGCCTTGTATGTACCAAAGTAAATATTGAATAGTCCTCAGATTTTGACAGCCTGGTGCAACAAAGTTCTGCAAACCGCAAACGACAAATGAGACGATGCTTGCACTCCTGACCGGCGTATCGGGGTCCCAGGCGTGGAACCCGTGGAACCCCCGAAAGCCCGTTCTAAATACATGATTACCACTTTTTACTTTTTTCCGCTCCGGGATAGTTCAACCATCCTTTCCAGGATATTTTGTAGTAGCACTTGTAGAACTAGCGCAGAACTAGGCTTTGCAGTGAAAAGGGGGCCCCGCGGATCTGATTATTTATTTACAAACATCAAGTTGTTCGGGGGAAAATAACTCCGCATTCTCGGCTTCCACTTTCTTCATTCCTTCTTCCAACATCAGGATAGGGAATACTTCATGGCACAAAAGCTGAAAACTTCACGCCGTTCAATGGAGTTAGCCTTTGAAACTTTGCACACATCTACATTGGGGTAGTACGAAACGCTTTTTAATTGATGTGGGGTCACAACTCTACAAACCCAACCTACCTACGTGTTTTACCACAAATCCTACCACCACATCCTCCTCGGAGAGATTTCTCTCGGAGCGATGTCGATGTCGCCAACGCTCCGATCCACGAGGAAGCGTGCAACGTTACGAGGAACCTTAAGACGTCTTCCACGAGGCTTCCTCGGATCGTTGACCGTGACTCGAGAGGGATGCGAGGGCGTGCCCTCGAACACCTCTCACTCTTCACCACTGTCCCCATCTCATCCCGAGATTCTGCCTCTTTACCGAGCGTCACAGTCTGTCCGGTGATCGTACACACCGCCCCATATTTGTGGCCGTTGCCTGAGTGGAACGTCTTGTGTCAACAGCGTTGGAGATTCGCACCTCTCTGCGGTGTTCATGATCCTTTGCGTTTCAACTATGCGGACACAACAATTGTTCACGCACGATCTACCGAAGACGGGGTAACTGTCAAGATGCATGGCTATTGCTTACGTGACCGTCAAAAACGCGTATAACAAAAACCTCGCTAGGGTGTCGAAAGTCTTCGTCCTTTTCTTCACAGGGCGGTCGACAACAAGTTAACTTGCGTACACCTGGAGAGACTAATAATAGCTCAAAATATTTGCCAATAGTTACCCCACCAGTTTCGTAGTTCCTTGCCCGTGACTACCCTTCGACGGGTATTTTGTGGTGGTGTACCATACACGACTGGCGGCACGGGTAGTATCTGGCTGCCACCCAACGCTGGAAGCGACCATACTTTGAAAACGTGAGGTCGTTGGATGAAATGAAACAAAGCATTTCCGGGCCCCACGACCTTCATCTTCGGTTGTCTTCCAAAACACGTTTATGCGGCGGTGGAGTACCACACATCAAACCAGATGACATACCCGGTGATCACATGTTTTTTGTCAACCGGTGTGGGAATGCCGTGGGGTAAGTGTTATCTTCAGTCACCTTATTTCTCGACCTTAGGGTGGACGTGAGCCAAAAAAATATTATCACCCGGTGTGGTTTTGTGTGCGGTGTGTGGCGTCTCTTGTGGTTGTACTACCCGGTGTGGTCGGAGGGTACAGAAGTGCTCGCCATTTCAACAACAAGTGCTGGTTTACGAGACGTACTGCAACACAAGCTGTTCACGACAACGTGCTTGCGATGGAGACACCATACGACGGTTCCAGGATGGGCACGCACCTCTAGCTCCCCGAGGCTCATCTTCTTCCGCTTCCGACCGTCTTTGGAAGTGTCGCGAGCTCTCGCCCTCGTCTCTTCGGTCTTGGCGGTCTGGGCGGCACCATCGGCTCTGAAATTGTTAAAAAGTAGTTCAAGAAACAGAGCTGGGGTCGTCAGGACACGGGAGAAAAAAAAAGCGTTCGTATCCCACGGTGGGTAGGGTTGGAGTTGCGAGTGGCTAAGAACACGCGACAGTCATGGGCGAGAAAGCTGGTGCCGCCAGGGATGGAAAACCAGAAAAGGACCGCTACGAGAGAAACCCCTTCAGGAATCGCACCAATTTCGTGCGCTGGAAGTGACACGCAAAACGTTGTCGAAGTACAGGTAACGCGATGGCGAGGGCGCCAACAGAATAGAAACTAGAACCATCACCAAATCACAATAAGAGACATATTGAAAGACATCTGCCGTTCGCAGGTGCCGTCTCTTCGCGTGACCGTCGACTGTACATACATACAAGGGACGAGCTGACAACAAGCAAAACGATACAACGATAGGCACGCCTTTCCGTGTTTGCAAAGCACGAGAAAAAAACGGAAAAAAAACACCAGACACACGTAGTCCACACAGCAACAGACGCCTCATTAAAGTGCAGCGCAGATCTTACCTTGGTCTCTTCTTCCCCTCCCCGCCGCTGTACGCCCCCGCGTCCACGCCTACCGCCTGCCGCGCCGACCCCGCTCCTTTCGGGGACCCCGCTCCCGTCACCCCCGGGGTCTCCACACCGCGGCTACTGCTGTTAGTTTTGTGCGAGGGGGGAACACCTTGGGGATGTTCTTCTTTTTTCAGCCATTGAGGCGGATGCGGGAGCCCTGTCCACGCGGGAAGACCACCGAGAGGCGGGACGGACGCCGAGGGGCCAGCTGCTGTTGCCGCTGCCATTGCCCCTGCCGCGGGAGGCAGCGCGGCTGGCGGGGCGATCAAAGGATGTTGCGCTTGCGTTGACGCTGCCGTAGGTTTCGCTCCTGCCGTGGGCGTACCGCTAATAGCTCCAGCAATCCCTCCGGTTCCCATTGACGCTCCGAAAGGAATAAGGCCGAGATTACCTGTAGAGTCACACATGTGGGGCCGCGGCCATCATTGCACACGAAGAAAGGGAGCGGTGGCGACACAAAAGTTGAGCTATTGACATGTCTCTACGTGCTTAGGGGTTTCAGAGACTGCCTGTTTGCAACACCGTGTTGCAACAACACGCTACCTTCTGGTTGGCTGAAGTCGCCCGCTTGTGTTTTTTTCACGAACGCCCACCGAAATCGCCGGCAAAACACTGCTAGGCCCTCGAATCAGCCACAAGGCCAGGGTGGACACTACAGTAGGGTTGGGTTTCGTCGAGGTGACAGGTTCAGAAAGGGGGCTACCATAAAAACCCTGTGAGTCTCTTGACCTCTCCTCTACCGCCTTGCGACAGGCGCCTCGCCTGAAAACCGCATGACCTGCTGCTGGTGCAGTGCCGGCCTTTGGGTGCAAGCGAGGGCTCTGGCATGCCGATTAGGGCTGTGTCGCGTCGGACCGTGAAACTGGCTCCGTTTTAGCCCCCCCTCGATTTGGTCAAAACAATGAACACGACGTCCTCTGCGTGGACCTATCTCGTCAACTCACCGGACAAGGCCATCTGAGCCCCCATTTGCATCGCCAAGACCGGGTCTGACGGTATCCTCCCGACGGTCGCCAATGACGAGCTTTGCAACACGCCTTCCTCTGGTGCAGAGTCAATCCCAACCGCTCCTACCCCGAAGGCAGCATCTCCACCAGAGGGGTCTCCTGCGCCCCCTTCCTTGCCGACTCGGTCAGCGCCAGAGGCCGTGGTATCTCTGGTGTTACCACTGCCTCCTGGCGGCCTGGTTGCGACAGCAGCAGCAGCAGCAGCCACTGTTCCGGTCGTGGGTGCGGTTACTTCGGGTGCTGCTGCTGCTGCAAACATTCTGTAGTCAGCGGCCGCAGCACCACTGTCAGCGACAGGGCCAGCAGCAGCCCCACCGACTGCAGCGGCACGAGCAGGAGCAGCAACTTCGGACCCGTCGCTGCCGATGACGCAGTCCTCGAGCTTCGGATCGATGCTGTCCGCGTGCACGAGGAGCCAACTCAGAAAGTCATCCGACTGGTTTGAGGTGTCGTTGCCGTTGTGTTGCAGGGGGGGGGGGCGCGGCCGAAAGACGGAGGATGTTAGAATACGTACGTGAGAGTCCAAAAGGGACACATCTTGGGCGGAACATCGAAAGCACGCACGGATAGATGATTTCGAAGTGGAGGCATGCTATCAAATAGACTTGCAACACGCGAGGTGAAGGGTCGGGGTGCCGACACCCTTGCCCCGAAAACGCATGCCGGCATGAAGCAAGGTTGATGGGGTTCCTTCCGCAGCCATGGGGGTGCCTTCCCAGAACATACCCCCTCCGATGTCTACGTGAGGCTTCTTCCAGATAGAGCGAGCGAAACATCTGTTCGGTTATGATCATCTTCAATGTATTGTCCGATGCGATCCTTCGCATGTGGCTCGGATACCTGTTCCCTGCATAACAAGGTTAGGATACTAGTCCTATGGAGATGCCACCGCAGGCGATACACTGATGCAGTCTTGACGATCCAAAGCCTAGATCTCCCGGCACAATAACCCAGATTCAATTACTTAGTACGAAGGGTAGTTGTATGCATCCCGGATGCATCGCGTTGTTGCGAGTTGCGAGACTCTACATCGCGTTGTTGCGAGATTGCATGCATATCAAGATCGGTGAAACGACCGAACTGCACGGCAGTACTCTCTAGAAAGTTGCGTATGCATACCATCCAAGAAAGCCTCCCCTTTCAAATGATACCCCGTTCGAAGGGATGTGCTGAAGTCTTTGCAGTGAGGTTGGGAAACCTGGTGGTGCATGAACCGGATTTGTAGTTGCGCCGCATGACTTTCACCGAGTTCACGCCACCGAGAACATTCACCCAGCAGAACAAGAGTTACTTACAGCAATGGTAGTGCCAACAGAACAAACAATAGCCGAACACCGGTAGCCAAATACAACTGCACCTCCCTTCCCTGTAAGTACGTGATGTTGAAGAGTGCTATGCTACCTGGTACTCTAGACCCACGCGAGACTACTGTACCTTGGACCGCTGTGTATTGTAGCGCATCACATGACGGATAATATATCTCACCCTTGCATCATCCTCACTACCGCCGTCCCCTCCTTCGCCTACAGCTGCAGCGAAGTCGTCGAAATCGTCCTCAGTCAAAATATCGTCCATCTTATGGTAACAGTCCCAGTCGCGTGTGGCCAAGTAGACCAGAGAGGCCCCACTCTGGCACAACCGCTGCTTGCTTGTTGTGCTGTGCGCAGGAGACAGCTGAGTAGTTGGGAGGGGGGACGCAACGTGTACAATCAACGACACGGAACCCCCAGCAGCCAACCTGCCCAGCGCGCCCTCTCAGCTCTGGCAGTGTTCCTTGCGCTGAAAGTGAGTGGGAGACAATTAACACGGTTTGTTGGCGGACGTGCACCACCCTTCCCTGACGTTGAGCTAAAAAAGGTAAATGGAAACTGGCTCTGTTTTTTCTGTCTTTTTTCCAAACCAAGTACGGTAGCATCTCCGCGATCTCCGAGATCTACATACTGCGCAGACATATGCAAAGCTACCGTAGTAATATTCGCCGGTTTGTAAGCTGAAAACACCGACATTGGTCTCAGCAACTCTAGTGGGAGTTCCACGTACCACCTTGAATAGGGGAATGCGGCTTTCAAGAGAGGGCACTTCGCCAACTGGCGGGCAGAATATCCTACGCTGTAGACTACTGTGACAAGCACTCACAGGTTGAGTACTGTCATCGACACATAGTGCACGCTTGAGTCTATGTTGGTCATCCATGCCAGGCGGTGGTATTTCGAGTCGTCAATTTGCCCGTTACGACCACGGACAGCATTGTTGCCACGTCTTGCTGAATCTGCAAGTCGTCTGTTTTGTGTGTACCACGCCCTCGAAACACTTCGTGCGATAGGTTGTGCCTGCTGCACATGCGATGTGTGCTGGTATCTTGCTGCGGACTCCCCGCAGCCGGCAAGACCACTTTTTGCCGCAGCATCGCCGCCAGTAACACGTTCCCTACACAAGGAGCAACTGACACAGCGACCGATACACGTGTAGAACGAAACAGTTCGGACTGTGGGCCCATCATCAATGGCGGTCCTCAGATTTGGGTAAGCCACGTTTGCTTCGACGAGTACATTAACAACGCCCGGCGGCGGCAGCGGCAGCGCAGCCGTTGCAGCAACGACGACAAACCATCCTCCAACGCTCGAATGCCTAGCCATCTCTCCCCTGCGAGCGACGTACAGCGGGAGAAGAAGGATCAGGGGGCAGGCGGTGAGTCAAGAGAAAAGGCGGAACTCAATCTTGGCCGACAAGCAGGCGCTGACAAGCGAGGTATGAAGAAGGAGTCAACAACATATCCATTGACGCACGAAGCAACGGGAAGATATGCCGTCGAGTCACAGGGAGCGATAGAAACAACATCACATGAGTCCCTTCCAGAACCTTCAGGCGCTTCAGAGGGCGGCGAGGACGGCACCAGATGGTGGCACGACGGGCGAAGGGCTGCAATGGCCGAGTTAGAGGCTCTAGCGAAGGGGGCGGAGTCAAGGGCGAGGGCAGGAGCCAAAACCGCGGTAACCTCTGGCGGGACGGTTTCTTCCGCTTGCGCAATGCTACCGGCGATGCTATCGGAGGAAATGAGAGAAGGTGGCACTGATAGTGCTAGACTGTCGACGCAAGAGGCGAGTACCTCTGCCGATTCCCCACCCAAGCGGACAGAGGCATCGACGGTGCATGTGGTACTTGCGGACGACAACATGCACTTCCGAAGCATGCGGCACGAAGTATTCCGCCTGGCTAGAAAATGTGCGTGAGAATTTGTGACGGATCATGGAAGGCATTGATCGGACTTGTGAGATGATGTTCTCCTGCTAACGTCGAAGTGTAAACGATACTCCAATTTTTCTCTGACGGTAGAGCGTTAGACTTTGGTCTCTGTTTGATTGGTAAACGCCGCACCCGGCTTTAGTCCATCGAGACGACCCGCGGGTCTGTTGTTTTACAGCGTCAGACCGAACGCGCGGAACTGACGACCTCACAGCTCATGCTATGACACGCCCTTGTTTGTCTTGCCGGCAGATGGGTGCGGTTATGCGCAGGTTTTCTTTCCCGCGGATGTGGAAATCGCAGTGAAGAGAAACACGACGAGAGGAACGCCAGTCGCTGAGGCGGTAAGGCTGCAAGCCGCGATCATTGCAAGCTCGAAACGATTCCATCGGACCGTTTTCACGCCGTGTGGGATGTGATCATACGTTTTCGTTTGTAAAACTATCTGTATTGTGGTTCCATGCCATTCGACAGCAGCGTGCACCTCAGAGAGACACCCCGGGTATACATGTCCCTGACCGTGACACAGTTTCCTGAACAACACCTCTTCGTGGTTCATATTCTTGTTTCCGAGATCAAATCATCGCTCTGCTCTTCCGCCTGGTTTGTCTACCTCCACGTCCCGTAGGTTATCCGAAAAATGGCCGCGAACATCCAACCTCCGGACCCCAAGCGTTTCAAGTGGGAACACCACACTGTGGTTGTCAGACCTCCATCGGGACCTCGCTCTCCGCAAGAAGGAACAGAAATGGTGCCACCACTGAAGCCCCATCGAACACCACCGGATACTGCTAACTTGTATCGAAATCCGCCTCGTGGCAGCAGTCGTGCCAGGACACTCAGCCGTTCGGGAGGGGACTTCGATGCGGGTGACAACGTCAGTAAGGTGGCGGAAGGTTCCACGACTGTCGTTCACTCGCAACGGGGATTTTGGTGCGTCATAGCCACCGCCGCGGCCGAAGATCCGAAGCCACTTGCTTCGGATTCTGCCTCACGTGTTTTGGACCAGGTGAACAAATGTGCGACTGGCTATGAGCATCACCAGCCTGCAAGAGTACAGTCCAATGTGTTCAATGTCCTTTTGCTTTCGTCCTTGCACGCACGTCATTGCTTCAGGAGAGCTTTTGGGAGTTCGCAAGCTGCTTGTTTGCAAAGTTACCTGGCATGTCTCTTGGTGGTGTAGGGCGTTGGTTCCGTTGAGAGCATCTGCCTTGAAGCTTTACGTACAAAGAGTCTGCTTGGAACGTGGTGTCACCGTCGCGGGGCGGCCTTACTTCTCCGTCCTCGTTGGTGAACGTGATTAGAAACCTTTCAGCGTGCAGAACACCCGCCTCATGCTGTCGTTTTTCCTGTGTCGTGTCGGGGGTGCGATCCTTTGTCAACGATACGGACGCTGTAGGAAGCCCCTCAAATGCTCCAACGACCACCTTGTGCTCGAACGTATGTATTTGCACTACTGTACGCTGACTAATCAGGAAGCGGACAGAGAGGCGACGAAGGCCAGCGTTCTGCACCAGTACGACCTTCACCTGCGCGAGGTGCGTTCTCTTCAATATATTTCGAGCGAAGCGAGATTTCTAATCTCGCATGAAATATACCGCTCCAGTCAGGAAAAAAAAGTTTGCACGTGCGTGTGTCTGTTCGCTTCAACTTGGTTTTAGACTACATGACTTGATTTTAGACTACAGGGGTCAGCAGATGGCCTTTTTTTTTTTTCGGAGCACACGCAGCGAATTGCAGAGAACACACGCACTGCGCGACTGCGGGTGACACCACAGAGCAGACAACACACGCACAGCAGACAGCGTACGCATAACAGGCGACACACACGCACAGCGGGCGACAGCATCTGGGCTCGATGCCGCTGGACTCTCTGTGGTGTGATGAGGCTATGTATTGCTCTGTCGCTCTTGTCGGCATGTTTTTTTACCGCCGCGTGCAACTGCCAGCAATGTGAGCACAGCACCACATTAGTTCTCGAAACCTAGGACGCCGATCGCCATCGCACCACTTCGAGCGTGTGCTCCATTGTGGTGTCTCTGAGCGTGATAGTTGTGTTGGGCATGGGTGTTGTATGTGCCGAGGGCATCGTGGCGATGTGAAATCCGGTTTGGCTTTTTCGCCTGGCGATGCGGCCGGATTGCCCGGGCCAAAAAAAAAAAAAAGATTCCACGCCGCCACGAACATCTTCCCACACACAGCACCCATACCTAACACAACTGTCACGCCCCGATATATCGCAATGGAGCACACGCTCGAAGTGGTGCCATGACGATTGATGCGCTAGGTGACCAGAACTGACTTGTGTCCTGCTGTTTCGCTGGCAGTTGGAGAAACACCGAACAAAATAAGAGGGAACGGGGGGTTCAGCACTAGTATGCGGGGGGTATCTATGACCACGAAAGCGGGATGTGGACGGGGACGGGGGTAACCGGTAGGTGAAAGCTAACCACAGATCTCACACCAGCACAGCAGGTAGGTGTAGTATCAAGTGTGTGGTGTTTGCACTCTGTTTCCGCCCGTGGACGCACACGTCTGACGACAGTTGCACCTATCAGCTGTCGCTCGTTGTAGCGACAGCTAGTATATCTTTTGTTATGGCGCCACTCTGATTGCAGAGACACCGAACACTCCCGGCCAGAAAGTGTGTTTTCACACAACACGTCCTCCTTCCCACGCGTGTGTTAGTTTGTAGGAAGTGTTGTTTCGCATACATATGTGTTTATATTAATATTTTCTGCGTCCTTTTGTTCGTGTCCAGCTTCGTTGGGTTACCAATTGCTAGATTGTGACAATGTGTTTGGAGAGCATGGGAGGAAAATGTTTTGGTACAGGCCGTACCGGCTTCTAGGGGTAAACAAAAGACAATATGTGGTATGATCCACGCACAACACGTTTTCCACCCACGTTTTCGGGTGAGAGCTTTGAACCAGAACCTACTAAACCGATGAACTGGGCACTTTAGTGAGCGCCAAGATAGGCGCAGCACGACCTTTCGAGCAAAAGCTATAAGCTCTCTTACGATAGAATCAAGTCGTCACCAAGTGCTACACTCAACGTGCTTGCGTGCACAGGTCTGGGGCAACCCTGCACATGTGATAAATGCGGAGTATATAAATATCGAACATATTTTTCGGTTTCTCTGACGAGGGCGGTAAGGGAAGGTCCTGGAGGTGAAATTATGAAATCGTTTGTAGCACTCTATTGTGTGGTTTCTTGTTCCTTGCAGGAACAAACAACCTGAACCTTTGTTCTATTTAGTTATCAGAGTCTCCTTGGCTTTGATTCTTGTTCGAACCCAGAAAACGATTCGACCTGGCAAAGTCATAATGCGGGACAAATCTGTTGAGGTATTGGTAGCAAGCGAGCACCAGTTCTTCGAAGATTGAGACAAG